AAAATCGAGCCCTTAGGCAATGACATCAGTGCTTGCAATTTTATCTGGCGATTCATGACGTTTGCTTAACACCTCGGCTCCTGGAATCATGTGATTACGTGAGAATCTCCACTTTCATTTAAAATGCAAGTAAGACACTAGCCTTCATGACTGTGGAGAAAAGCTTGAAAACATGACCCCCTTAAAGGCTCAAAACCAAGAAGGGAAATACCCCTTCCCCAAGGGAAAAAAACCCCTATATATTAAAAATCTCATGGCTCTTTTGGGCCTAACTCATGGCTTTTGAATGCTTGGTCTTGGCGATGCTGGCTACATTTTCAAATCCTCTCTGCTAGCTCTGGGACCCAAACCAGTTTTTGAGGGGTTTTGGAGCCGGGCTTAGCAGCCCTATATTGAGGGAGCATCATTCAGGGAACCCCATGTCTGATTTGACTTCAAAGTGGGTAGGACATTCCTAAAGCAGCCCCGGCCCAGCCTACCAAGTCTGGAATTTTGGGGAGGATTTTTAAGGGCCTGAGATGGAGGGGAAACTCTGTTTCAGCCTTAACGAGGGAGCGACGGAGCTTGTAGCTGTAGGTGAGAACTTCTTCCTGCGAACTCAGCGTGGGGTTGTGTTTAACGCGCTCTCGCTCTCTGTCTCCGCAGGTCCCTGTGTCTGTCGCTATGATGTCACCTCAGATGATCACGCCACAGCAGATGCAGCAGATCCTGTCTCCTCCCCAGCTCCAAGCTCTGCTGCAGCAGCAGCAGGCGATCATGCTGCAACAGGTAGGGCCAGCCTAGGCCTCCCTTCCTTCATGTACTCGATGAGGCCGGCTCACTGCGCTCTGCAGCCTTATAAAAAATAAAAATAATAAATAAATAATCCTTGCCCCATGCATGCAAATAGGGTCAGCGCTGGCCTGCACTCCACCCCATTCTCTCCAGTGACATTGGCCTCTGTGTAGGGTGAGGCTGGACCCCCTCTAAAACAGTCATGCAAGCAGCCTGGCCCTTTCCCTCTCTACGGCTGTCTCCAGTCCCCCATCTGGCTTGCCCTAGGGATCCCAACCACGTTGGCACCATGGAATGGGAAGAATTTTAATTTATCAATAATCCCACTGCAGCTGGATTCTGCTGCAGAGTCAAAATCCCTACAACAGCGTCTACATTAAAACCCGTTCAGGATTTGGTTTTCAGTGGGGAGAGGCCTGAGCCGAAGCCTGATGGGCGGGACCATTTGGATCTGGGGTCAGGCTTCGTGGCTCGCCCTTGTCTCTCTAGTGGGCCTCAAGCTTGACTGTGGACTCTCCCTGAGTTGGGGCAGGTGTTTGGATCCAGACCCAGACTTAGCAGCTCGGGTTCGTTCCTCGGAGTTGAGCTTTCTCTGCATTCCAGAACACACACACACACACACACACACACACACACACACACACACACACACACACACCCACACACACACACACACACACACACACACACACACACACACACACACACACACACACACACACACACACACACACACACACACACTGCAAAATGAGTGGAAAAAGAGGGGTGGAGGGAAAGAACTCCAAAACACAAGGACGTGGGTAAACATCTCCAGCTGGGGGGAAGGAGGGGGAGTACGAGAAATCCCACAAGCATCTTCCACACCCTTCTCTTGCCTTCTGTACCTGTTTACTCCAAACACGCTGATAAGGATTCAAGGTTGGCCCCAGGGAAAGAACAAAGGGTAAACACTAACCTGGGTGGAGTCCTTCTCTGAGCCTCTTTGGAGCCGGATAAAGAAACATGTTTGACTGCAAATTAAACAACCCAGGCCAGAATAGCTTGCATTCTCCACCAGAAGAAAACCAAACATCACACCTCTCACCTCTTGACCCAATGTTCTCGGAACCCTGTTCAACCAAGTTACAGAGACCTGGTTTTGATTGGCTTTCGGGTAAACAGCTTGGCTTTCCAAACCTGTTCCGCAGACAGAAAAAGAAAAGTTGCTGTTGTCAATCCCTGAGCTGATAACGGTTTCCCAGCATTCAGCAGAAGCCAAGGGTTTCCCGGCTTTGTGGATGCTTCTTTGTGGCTTTTATGGAAAACAAATCCATTGGGAACAGTTTATTTGGAGATGGGAGTGGGGGGAGGAGGGAATCTTAGAGCTGGAATTTACCTCTGCCTGAAAATCCAAAATATGGAACAAAAGCACCTTTTATCAGATGATCTTAAAGTGCATTACAAGCATTAATTAAGCTTCCTGTGTAGTTGTTGTTGTCCCCATTTTACAGATGGGTAAACTGAGCGGAAGTGGCTTTCTGGGGATAGAACCCACTTGTCCTGCCTCCTAGTCTCCTGCCCCAACTGCTGCTAGACCACCGCTCCTTCCAAAGTGAGAGCAGCCAGTCTAATCTGAAGGAAGAAGAGCAGTGTGCAATAGAAATAGTACTCAGAAAGGCGAGGAGTGCATTCTCGAGGCTTATACAAGCCAGAGGAAAGGGGGAAGAGACTTTCCTGTAGCACCCTCCCATCATCACCATAGTATTTCAGCCTCTCTGCCCCAACGCTAGCCATTATGAGTGAGTCACCTTTACTCATGGTGCTGTTTGTTCTGGGAACACGTCTCATTCTCCTTGATAGGCTGTTTTAATTTGACTGCTGCTGGGACCTGCACGTCAATCTCAGCCACACCCTTTGGCAAAGCATCGTGTGGGGTTTGGGGCGGCGGGGGGGGGGAGGAGACGAGACTTCTGCTGGCTAGAGCAGAAGGTTGGGAGTCAGGACTTCTGGGTTCCATTCCCTACAGTATCACAAGCTCACAGAGAGACCTTGACTAAGTCAGTCCACCTCCTCACACCTCACTTCCCCCCTCTAAAACGCAGATCACTAATTGCTGATACCTACGATAATACTGAATTAACTACATGTTTGTCGCTGCACCTAGCAAAATGGTGCCCTGACCTGATTGAGGCTTCTAGGCCCTACCCTAATACAAATGATGATTAATAATAAGCGAGGCTTAATTAGTATATGTAAAGGGCTTTGCGAGCTTCAAGTGAAAGACACTTGAGAAGGAGTATTATTATTATTTATTATTTATTATTAATTGTGAATTTTAATTATCCCAGGGAGTCAAAATCTTGATTGTGGGTCTCATGTCTACCGGGGAGTTGGGCAAAGAGCATCAGACTGCCAGTGCTATCTTTAAATAGCTGAAACGTTCTTTCACCTGACTTAGGAGCTGGGTATTTAAGCAAACCAACAAACATCGTGAGCCTGGCAGTAACATGGCCAGAGTTGGCAGCCTTGTGCTAAGCCCAGTTTAAGAACCTAAGTGGTTAGGCCTGGGCAGGATCTTCCGGCTGCCTCCCTGACGTGTGCTGCTTTCTGCTTTCCCTCCCCTCAGCTGCAGGAATACTACAAGAAGCAACAGGAGCAGCTTCACCTGCAGCTATTGACACAGCAGCAAGCCGGAAAGCAGCAACCCAAAGAGGTGAGCTCGCCCATACAGGTTCGGGGCACAGACGCAGGCACAGATCGGAACTGCTGCAAGCCAAAGGGGAGGGAAAAGGCGTGGCGTGTGTAAATCCTAGGGTAGCCCGCTGGCAGGCATGTCGGTGGAGGGGAGGGGCCCAGGGGATAGGGGCATATGGTTATGGAGTGGAGTGGATAAATGAGGTGCTATGGGGCTGGGAGGGTGGGGCAGCTGGACCTAAGCCACCTGGGACACCTTTTCTTGTGGTTACCCTATCATAAAATTCCACATCATACGCGTAACTCTGTAGCTCACAGTGCATCATTACTGGATGATGCATCTATAAAATATGCCTGGAGTGTGGGAGGTGATGAGGTCACTTGGGTGTGAGAGCAGCGGTGTCCATATGCCGTGTCCAACATAGGAACGTCTCTCCGTCGGGGAGCTCTCCGTACAGCCCGACCCACAGTCAATGTCGTGCCGGAGGCTTCTGTGCAAGTGGAATACGTTCAAGGGCCGTCAGCATTGTGCTTCCGCCCCTTCATCCAGGAGGGATCTTTTCAAGAAGATGAGAGGAAAAATCTTTTCTTTACCCCTCTCCCCCGTGAGTCCCTAAGAGCCAAGAGCTGAACCGCTGGAGTTGGCGACCATGAGCCATTTTCTCTGACTAATATTAGCTTGAGACAGAGAGGGAGAGTTGGAAAAACAAGGCACCAGGGAAAGGCTGAAATTCAGTGTGTTTGCGAGATGCCCCGTCCAACGAGACTCTTGAGCTGTGCCTGCACTTCACCTTGAGTGTTAGCAGCACTCGCGCGTCAGCCATTACCCATGTGACGAGCACCACTGCACTCAGGCGAGGAGTTTGTGTGTGGCCAGGCCTCAGGAGGAACACTTGAGTGAAAGGTGCACTGAAGACCAGGGCCTGGATGGGGTGGAGGTGACATTTGGAGGATGTGACACCCTAGCCCGGGTTAAGACTGTAGTAGTAATAGAGTACTCTTGTATTCCTGGCCCCCGTGGAGGCGGAAAGTGCTGGGTATCTGGCAAGGGAAGCCTGTTCTCCTGACATCCCCTGCCCAGTCTTGCAGTTTCGGATTAGTGAGGCTCAGACACTGGGGAGCTAATTATTGAATCTCTTTGAGATTTTATCCATGGCTAGTGACTGTCTCTCCATTTCCTATCTTCTTCTGCATAGTGGTTTGGGTCCATGTGAAAGGGACCAGAAGCATGCAGTGGGTGAGGTCGCAGCAGCTATGGGTCCCCCTGATCTGGGACACAAGCTCCCACAGGAAACCACCTTTTCCAGCTCTTGTTGGAACTCTTCCTTGTCGGTGGGGTGGGACACCTGTTTTGTTCCTTGATTGTGGCTGCCCACTTAAGTAGCCTTGTTAAGGCTTATCTAGACAAGGGGGAATATGCACTGGTATTATCTACTACCTCTAATGTGCTGTAATGCAAAGGGAGACAGTGTGGTCTAGTGAATAGGGCAGTGGATTGTGCCTGAAGTGACCTGGGTTCTATTCCTACTCTCTGCTTGCTGAGTGACCTTGGGTGAATCACTTCACCTCTTTCTCTCTCTCTCTCTCTCTCTTTCCCCACCTGTAAAATGAGCATAAGGCCTCCCTTTTGTATAGCGCTTGGAGATCTGCAGATGACAAACACAGTGTAAAAACTTGGTAGGTATTATTATTACAGGCACACTGCATTATTGAAAAATGGATCTTGCACTGGTGTGGTTAAAACCCAATAAGTTAGCAGGGTAAGTCGCATCAGTACAGCACATCTACACTGGGCATTTGCATCAATATTACAGTGCCATTGCAAAAACCAAACAAAATACCCAGTACAGACGACGCTTTGAACTTGTAATGTTTTGATGATAGATGTGGTTTCCACAGAGCATCTGCTGTTTCATCACCCACCTCTTGTGAGTACGGGTACGTCTAAACTGGAAGGGGAAAAGAAAAAAACCAGATCCACAGCAGTGAGTTTCAGAGCCCAGATCAGCTGACTTGGGCTATGGGGCTTGCATTACAGGGCTAAAAATAGCAGTGTAGACATTCCCACTTGGGCTGCAGCTCAGGCTCTGAGACCCGGCGAGAGGGTTGGTATCAGAGCCTGAGCTGGAACGTCTGCACTTCTATTTTTAGCCCCGTAGCCAAGTACCCCAAGCCAGAGTTGGTTGACCTGGGCTCTGAAACTCTCTGCCCCGAGGAGTGGGTGTGTTGGCAGTGTAGACGTACCCTAAGAGACAAAGGGCCCTTCAACACCCCCATATCCCTTCTCTCCTAAACGAGGCCATCCTTCCTAATTCTGGATCCCTGCTGTAATTGAGGTTCACAAGGACCTGGACATTATTAACCAGGATTGTTAAGGAATATTGAGTCAATCTTTAACCAAAGGGTAAAACTGAATTGATCAAACCTCTGTGTAAATCTGGATATGAGAATATACATATATAAATATGTTTTTGTTCCGATAACTTTTGGAATGAATCAATTTTTATGGCTTTTTTTTTTTCCTTAAAACTCCCAGAGAACTTTTTCCCCAGTTTCTTTAAACTATTAAAAAATGGATTTCCAAAACTGACATTTTTCAATTTGTGAAATCAAGTTTTCATTTTTCAGTTTTTGGGGGAGGGGAAAACCTACCACATGACTTCAGCTGACCCATCGAAAATGGCATTCGGAAAAGAAAAACCTTAAATAACTCTCAACCATCAAATAACAGAAAATGAGATAAACATCAAAAACTGTAAATGAAATTTTTTTGCTGAGAAATGGAAAATATTGAGAAAATCAGTTTTTGCACAAGCAAAAAAATTATTTTCAAAATCAGGCCATTTTGCAGGGAGAAGGGAAATCAAAAAATTTCCACCCGCTCTAAAACTACATCTTGGTTCTATCTGATAAGAAAGCATCTTAAGGTGATTGCAGGATAACTGTGTCACCAGGACCAGTAGGGTCCTGTGTGGGGATAAGAATCCTATTTGTCTTCATTCCTAGAATTCCCCTATCTATCTGGACTCACTCAACCTACCCCCATCTGGGGTGACAGCAGACTTCAGTTGTCTCATTTACTCCAGTTGAGGAGTATGAATGAAGGTTTAATCCATTAAAAGGCCCCTTGTCTCTTCTAGCTTGACGACCCAGTCTCTAAGAGTGGAAGAAGTAGAAAGAGAACAATGGTTAGAGGTGTAAGAAGGTGTCCATGTTAACCTAGTTCCATTGGGCCAAAAGCATCCTCAGAATAATGCCCATGGAGGCGATTGCCCTGTTGCCTTCTATGAAGAGGGCTCTTCACTGTGCATACTTGGTCACGCCAGGCACCACTGGCCTACGCAGTGCAATGGTATCCCCTGTAAGCGCTAACTCAATGAGAATGGGCAGAGGTCCAGGAAAAGCTGACCTGCCTCTCAGGAAGGTGTTTGGTGACAGCTGGCACGGAACCTGCTTTGGCCGTGATCTTGCTGGAGTTGAAAATTTAGAGCCACGTGCTCCTGTCTGATTGAAAACCTGCGGGGAAAGACTGATAGCCTGAGAAATCAGCTGGGCCCAAGGGCAGTGGAGTTGACACGTGGCTGTGCCGTCTAGTGTCCAACACCAGCCTAGATACAAACACCTGTAAGAGACCCAGTGTGGACACCTCACTGGTGAAGATGCAAAGCTTGTCTGCAATCACAAACCCCCACAGATGTGAGATGAAGCCCGCCCCACGCGTTACGTGCAGGTGGTTCTTGTATGCTCAGGAGTCCACTGAAGTGTGAATATTCTCCCCGCTCCGAGATGTCAGCCCATTGTGAGTTAGGCCTTGTCTACACTAGGAGGCTTTTGCCAGTATAGTGACACCGGTATAGCAATAATGGCACAACCCTCTACTGTTAGATCAGTATAAAAATGCTTAGGCTGGTATAGTTTGTCGATCTGTTGTGTCTGTGGGCTTTTACCAGCATAGCTAATCTAGTAACAAATCACACATAGCTATGCCAGGAACATCTGTAAGTGTAGACGAGCCCTTACTTTTGGGGTAACTTCTCCTTGGCACTGTTTGGTTTCACATGCTAGGATCTGGCAAGTTGCTGGCTTAGTGCTGGCTTGCTGGAACCATCCGTTGAATATTGCTACTCTGTTTATTCCTTATATTTCCATTAGTCCTGGTCTCTCATTTCATCTACAGTAGAACCTCAGAGTTCCGAACACCTCAGGAATGAAGGTTGTTCGTTACTCTGAAATGTTTGTAACTCTGAACAAAACGTTATGATTGTTATTTCAAAAGTTTACAACTGAACATTGGCTTAATACAACTTTGAAACTTTACTATGCAGAAGAAAAATACTGCTTTCCCTTTATTTTTTTTAGGCAAAGTGGAGAATTAAGTTAGTGGTAGGGGTTTATGGTTTGTGCGTCCTATACAGCATTGGCATTCTATTCCAGAAGGCCACTTTGAAAGTCTTCTCAGAATGGCTGAATTGTTAAATGCGTATTCTGTGTGTCTGAGGTTTGTTTCTCTTTTTTTTTTTTTTTTTTTAAAATGAAATAATTTGTCTTTATGTAGTATGGAACAAGGTTTGTTCTGGACTGCTCCCACATTTCTGGGACTGGATGACAAGGGATGGATCACTCAATAAATTGCCCTGTTCCGTTCACTCTCTCTGAAACACCTGGCGCTGGTCTCTGGCGAAAGACAGGATACTGAGCTAGGTGGACCATTGATCTGACCCAGCATGGCCATTCTTATTTTCTTATGTTATGTACAAGCCACATCTCTGTTGGCATCTGTGGGGAGCTTTTTGTTGGTCTCCTGCATAGGGGTTGCTTTTGCCCCATCTTTTGGTATGGCAAGGCCATGGGAATATATGCCCCATTCAGCAGCCCATCCCTGTTCAGCAAAGCACACACTTAACTTTGGGCATCTGCTCAAGTCCCCTTGACTTCAGCGAGACTCAGGGTATGTCTACACTACCGCGGTAGTTCGACGGCTGGCAATCGAACTTCCGGGTTCGATTTATCGCGTCTGGT